TTGACTGTGTAGGTGTCGATGCCACAGTCCCTAGTTTTTTAATGAGAATGGGGTGAGAGACAGTGTCAAAAGCCTTTCTTAAGTCCAGAAATACTACATCCACTGCTACACCTGTGTCTAAGGATTTTGTGACTTGGTCATAGAAGGCCACCAGGTTGGTCTGACAGGACCTGCCTCCAATGAACCCGTTTTGGTTGCCCCTAAGCATAATCTCCCCTGCTGGCCCCTCATGGATATGTGCCAGAATAATTTTCTCAAAGAGCTTGCCCAGGATCGAGCTAAGACTAACTGGCCTATAGTTTCCCGGGTCTTCCTTCCTCCTCTTTTTGAAGATGGGAACCACATTGGCCACATTTGAGGTGGTTAGGCTCCCCAACTGTTACCAGTATCTAAAATCACTTTGAGGTTTTCAGGAGATGCTTTGGCTCTCTATAGGGTTGGTATTGCATATGAAAGATGCCATGCATTGACTTAACGATAATTAGCTATTTTAACCAGTAGTGAGAGAACTCATCTACTGTAATGAAGACCTTTTAATGTAGACTCAGCCATCAAAGAATTTTTCTAGATCCTAGAATTGTTATATGTCCTTGAGAGTTAAAAAAATATAATTTGGAATGTAGGCAGTCAAAAAGAGCAAATGATACTTTTTAGAGTATCATTCATAAATAAGGTTAAAACTAAACAGGAAAATGGAGGAGTGCTTTGAGATGGATATTGTAGAAAAGTGGAACTATATTGCTGACTTCCTGTACAAATCCAAAAATGTCATTTATCACGTAGAAATTGTGAGTTAATGCTGTGGTAATGATGCAAGCCTGAGCGTAGAACCAAAAAACCTAGTATCAAAAGAAGAGTAGGTGTGAAAAAGATGTGCAAAGTATTACTATGCAGTTAAACTTACATGATCAACTCGCTGCTCACAAATCCATCACTGGTAATAACATTTGCAATCTTTGGTTCTCAAAGTTCCAGTTCCACAGTTAGTAAGTTTAATGGAATTCCACTGCATCAGGCACTGATCATATGTGGGGGGGGAACCAAACTGGGGAGGAGAACTTAAAATGTTCTAAAATAGAGCCTATGGGTGATAAGGATCCCTTTCATGAACTTAGCAAGATCTGTCTTAAAGTTACACCAGTACGCCTTTCAAAATGCTGCTGTAGAACCTCATTCCTCTGGTTAAAAACCTTCATCTGATTTCAGGACTCTGTTTTTGTGTGGTCAGTTTTTACGTGTTTATTTTTGTTGTTTGGTCTGAGTAATTCTTTTCCCTCCCTGGTTTCCCCCCGACTCCAAAGTATATACAGGGGAAAATTATATCCCCTCTCAGCCTTCATTTTGCTTAGGCTAAACAAGCCATAGTCTTTTAGTCTCCTCTTATAAGATAAGCTTTCCATTTCTCTGATCATCCTAATGGCCCTCCCTGCACCTGTTCATTTTCTCATGCATAGGTAACCAGAATTGTACACTGTGCCAGATGAGGTCTTGTCTTGTACAGTGGAATTGATTCTTCCCTATCTTTACTGCTAGTATCTCACCTGATGCAACCTAGGAGTTTTTTTCCCCTTTTTCCCCCCACGGCTGCATCGTATTTGTGACTTATAGTCATCCTGTAATGAAATACCACACCCAGGCTTTTTTCTTCTTCTCTTTTGCCCAAATGATGAACTGACATCTTGTAGCCAGATTTCTTGTTATAGTTGCTTAAATGCATGCCCTTACTTGTTGCATTATTGAATTTAAATCTGTTTCTGTTGTTGTGGTCCTTGAGGTCATCTAGTTATTCCTACAAGATATCCTGAAATTGCCCTGTATTGACAGTCCCTGCCAATTTTTGGAAAAATGTTGTTGTGTATTGGTGACACAGTTTTTAATGAAAAATAGGTAATGGTATTTTCCCATGTAAGTGGTGATACATGATGCTGCATAGCCATGAGTAAACAAATTGATTTGTGAAGGGACATAAGGGGATATTGTATCTTTTAGGATGAGAATTACAATATAAAAAAGTTTGAGAACCCCCTCCTAAAAGGTAACTAAAAATGTTTGGCTGTCCTCTTGCATATAACCAATAGAAGGCGGTGTAACATATAGATACATACTTTCTTTAAAATCATGAATGTCTTTACTCTGAAGTGGAAATTACAAGTGCAAAAAAGTCCATGTGCACCACTCCACTGAAAAGTCATCTGCATAGCCTAGTATTGTCATCTTCATTGTGGTCTAGACAGAACACAGACTGGGCTTCCTGGTGTGTGACTGGTGGGTTGCTATTTTCCTCTAGATCATGGCCATGGCTGGATTTGGAGCTTTGAGAGTAGCTAGTTGCTACTTTATCCTGTTTCCCAATGGATCTCTTGATCTTTCTCTGATTCCCCCCCGCCCCCTGTAAGTAGAATTTATCAGTAAAATAGCTGGAAAGCTGTAGCATTCCAGAAAGGAGATGCTTTTGTAAGTGGATGAAATAAGCATGGCCAGGGCTACATGCTGAAGGTTTGACTTACTGTCAGGAAGGCTCAGCATTAACACGAGAAGCTTTATAGCTGTTACTTTAGAGACCGTACAACTGATTCTGATCTCATTTGTACTGGTATAAAGTAATTCATGAAACTGATGTAGGCATAGGAACGTTGCATGTTAACAAATAAAGACACTTGATGTGATTGAAGAAACTGCATTACCTGTCTCTGTTTTGGTTTTTTTATAAAATTCTAAAAGCAGACCTAGAAATTGTAAATCAAGATAAGAATACTATCCTTGCCTTCGGAGTGATTTAGTATTAAAAGGTTCTTTGGGGTTTGTTTTTTTTTTTAATAGTGAAAACTTTAGAGAGAGACTGCAGTAATACTTTCTTTTCTAACAGTTTTGGCACCTCTCTGTGAAAATATGCCGAGTGGTAGGGCAAGCAAACCTGGAGATGTAGTTAGAGCCAAGAATGGAAAAACAATACAGGTATGTATTAAACTTGTCTTTAGGACCTATTCATCGAAACTTGCTAATCAATCAAGTTATATTGCTTCTGTCATAGTAAAAATACCATTTAAAATGGAAACCAGTGCCTGTAAATAATGTGTTACTTAAATTGCAAACTTAGCACTTTTTCAGTTTTATTTGAGAGACTAGATGCATTTATAAATTACAAGGGAAGGCTAAAACGCTCAGTCATTTACTGTAGGCTCTGGAAAATGTTGAATCAGCATGGAGGGATGTTATGGTGCATATGAAGATAGTAAAAGCTAAGCTCTCTCACAGAGGGTGTAATGTGTTAATTGCTTTCAACAGATTTTTAAGACACTTGCCTGCAATATAACTCGAGTAAGACATGCAAGCATTAGTTTTCTGCTGACATAACCAAGGTCTTTATTCTACAAACTACTCTACATAAGAAGAATTCTAGGGCAGAGGCTTGCTTGTGCAGAGTAGTTTGCAGAATAAAGCCCCCATATTACACATTTTTTTTAAAATCCAAAATAAAACCCCCCATTTGGTTGACTGGTAACAAGGACCATAATGCTATATATGAACTATTTCTCTGCAAGAGTTGATGGACAGACCAATGTTTCCCTTTCAGAATTTCTTTAATTATATTGTGAATTTTGAATCTTTCAGTTCCTTGATGCTTTGCTATGAGCCATACCAATAATTTTTTAGTTCAGTAGTGCAGTGGTTATAAGGGGGCTATGTCACACTTACCAATGGAAGAGCCAGAGATTTGAAAAGAGGCTTCAAGGTTTACCTTGCAGAGTTTGTTATAAAGCATTCCTGCAAAGAAGATGGGGCCAAAAAAACCCAGAGATCTGGAGGGAAGAGACCTCAAAATCTGCAGGGGAAGAAACCTCCAAACCCACAATGATAGAAGCTATTTGCAGGGGTGGTGCCTGCTTCTGCTACTCTGCAATTCCTTTTTTCTTCTGGGAATTTAGTTGCAGTAGGAATTATGTTTACACTGAACAAACCTTTACTCTGTAACAGCCATTTGAGATGTTAATGGACTTTGGTAAGGGACAGTGATCAGACCTGTGCTCTGCTCTATCAGCTTCTATCCTTGCCCTGCAAACACCATAGTCCCAGCCTGTGAAATTTTTTGATGCCTAAAAGTGCTTTGAAAATAACTCCTTATAAAATATTTTCTTTTTCTTTTATCTACGTTAAAAACTAAGTTTTTGACTTGGCACTTGCTGTTCTTTCGGTATGTGTTACAGTAATACCTTGGTTAATGAATCATCTGGGAACAAAGCTCCTTTATAATGAAGTTGGCCTTTATTTGTAAAAAAATCAAAACAAGGCAAATGTGGATTTCTCGTTTTACTAGAGAAACCCATGGATTTTGCAGTGAGCTCCCAGCAGGCTGGCTGAGTTCCAGCCTGCAGGGAGCTTGGAGGGAGTGGGAGGAAGGCAGTGAGACAAGGGGTGCCATGCGCATGTACATGCTTGTGGCCCCAGGCAGCCTACAGAGCAGCTCCAGTAGGTATGTGGGGGGGCGAGGGAGATTGAGGGCCCTGTAGGGAGGGAGGTGGGCAGAGCTGGAGCTGCTGCCCAGTTGGGTGGGGCTTGGGGCCCTGGAATATAATGCGTGGCTGTAGGGCCTAGCAAGGAGCAGGATGGGGCCGTAGGTGGCCCATCCAGGGGAAGAGGAGGACCAGCTCTGCTTCCGTGCACACTCCCAGGTTACAGGGGGGACCTGCGCCCCCCAGATCTGTACACAGGGCAGGCACAGGCTGCGGAGCTTGGGCTCCCACCCTGCTTCCCTTCCCCTGGAGCCTCCGCAGCCCAGCAGGCATGACCCAGCATGGCAGGGAGCAGCAGGGCCATGCAGGGATCTCCTTGCCACTGAGTTCCACGCTACCCTGGTCATGCACTCCCTGTGCACACTGCTGCTCTCACTGCAGCCCCGTGTGCAGGAGGCACATCGCCAGGGCAGTGCAGCGCGTGCTGCTCCCTGCCGCGCCAGGTCCTGCCCACTGGGCTGCAGAGGCCCCAGAGGGGGAAGCAGGGCAGGAGCCTGAGCCTGTAGCTTGCGCCTGCCCTGCATGCAGATCTGTGGGGCATGAGTTCCCCCTGCCCCCAGAAGTGCGTGTGGTGAAGGGAAACCTGCAGCAGGGGGGAGCGAGGGCAGGGGGCTGCGGGCCCAGGTCCGTAGCTCTGGCAGCTTGGGTATCTTCGTGAGTATTTATCATTTTGTGAGTATTTAATGATATTTTCCTACTGTATCCCCCCGTTCTCTGAAGTCCTGAAACACATCCCTATGCCTATATTATTTCTACCTCTGGTAATGAAGTTTCTGATAACGAAGTGACCTGATGTAATGCATCTGCTTTGTTAACTGAGGTATTACTGTACTGTGATCACTTATAGCGTGGGTGTCAAACTCAGGGTGTTGAACGCAGGGCCAGATGAGTGGTGTGGAGCTGGTCTGTGAACTGGATTGAGCCCATGAACCCTTTTCCTTTCTCCCTCCCTCAGCATACCTGATCCAGCACCTACCCTGGCAACTCTAGGCCTCAGCCACATGAGATGCCTTTTCTGGATGCTCTGTGCAATGTGGATCCCAGACTAACTGGAAATGGGTGCTGTGTGTGACACAGCCCAGAGCCTGGGTGGATCAGCTGCTGCGTGTAGCACGGCTGCTGTTCTGGCCAGTCTGCACGATGTGCAGTGCCCTTTCTGGCCACTCCGGGATCTACGCTGCACACACCATGGGTCCCAGACTGCTGGCATGGCCTCCGAATTAGGTAGGTGGAGGAGAGGGAAAGGGAGGAGGTCTGTGGGTCAGATCCAGCCCACAGACTGGCCCCTAGCCAAGGCTACACGCCATGTCCCATGTGGGTCTGACCAGACTCGGGGGCAGCACCGGAGGCCCGATGGCACAGCTCTGTGGGCCAGATGTAGCCCATAGGGGAGGGAGCAAATTCGGGGTGACTGCCCCAGGCCCTGTGCTTTGGGGGGCCCCGCGGAGCTGGGTGGAGCAGCCGTGGCAATTCCGTGCTGCTGCTGGCTTCGCGTTCGGCCGCTTGGTGCCGCCCGCCACTGAATCCTCCACCAGCTTCCTTGCATCCAGGGGCAGGGCCCTGCCCAGGCTGATTTGCCCTGGGCCCCACACCCTGCTCAGGTTATTTCTGCCCATAGTCTATATGTTTGATGCCTTTGACTCAGCCTGCTTAGGAAATCAAGACCACTTATAGGAAGTGAATGTGTAAGAAGCAAATGAAGTAAATCAGAACTTGTAATAGACAATTTTTTTCTTTTTACTTTTCTTTTTCCTCTGTGTCTTAAGGTTGATAACACAGATGCAGAAGGACGGTTACTGTTAGCTGATGCCCTCTGCTACGCCCACAATTTTAATGCACGGGCTATTGTAAATGCTGCAACTTTAACAGGTAGCTAATTTATTTTTCTTCCTTCATCTTCTGAGAAACTGCTCTATAATGAAGGATTACCTTCTTTGGTTCTACCTCATAGGCGAGGAGTATTGTTTACACAAGAAGTTTGTCACCCATTCATTTTATTTACAGATACTTACTACTTGTATTAATGTATAAACACTTTCTTATATGTGACTCAATATTTTGGTATGGATTTTTCTACTTAAATAATTCAGTAGGTTGGGTATACTGTAACAGTCTTATATTCTCTTTGCTGAGAGGGTGAGAAGCATGAGTATTTATATTTGTGTTCTGCAGCACTACTACATTGAAGAGGCTGCAAGTACAATGGAGAAATCTGTTTCCACTGAACTGAAAAGCTTTTTAAAAGTCCTTCTATTAATACTAGATTATATTAATGTTTCTCATTAAAATCCTAATTTTTGGCTTCAGCTAATTGGCACTATTCCTTTAGTTATAATTTGTGGTACATTATGGAACTGAAATTATGGGGAATGTATGTAACTGGATCAATTACAAATCCATGTCAGGGCTGTTGGCCTCGGTAAACCCAGGCTGTGATAAAACTGCTAGGAGGCAAGCTAAAGGGAAGAAGCCTCTCTAAATTTCATCCCAGATTTGACTATTCTTTAGTCCATGAAACGATTAAATGATTTCCTGGGCCAGGGAATCTGTAGGTTATCAGGGTGATTTACCTGTGGGTCTTGATGCCTCTGTCTTTGCCTACACAACTCCATTTAGGGCTTAGCAAGCTGTTGATTCCTCCCCAGATCTGTCTTAAAAAGGAAGTCCTGCTTCCAAAATTCTGCTACTTAAGTGAATTGGGGGTGCACCAACGGTTTAGGCTCTTACATAAATGTTAAGGGTACCAGTAGTGACTGCTGATAAGGCAAATAGATAAACCTTTGCAAAATTCAATTTAAGTTTTGAATATAAAAGAGAAGCTCCAATCTGGGCCCATCTACACGTGCTGATTTAAGGTGCATTAGCCATTTTTAAGGCTGTTCATGATTTAAATTTGATACTTGCAAAAGCAGGTATCAAATTTAGGCATGAATAGCTAAAGTGCCTTACTGTACATATAGATGTACTAAGGCACGTTAACGCTTTGTATGTCTACTGATTTGGGACTAACCTTAATCTCAGGTCAGTCTGGACTCCGTATTAATGTGCCTGAGTGCGTGCACATGTAGATACGTGCCTAAATTGCTTTAATGTACATTAGGCAAATGCACATTAAGCTTAGGCCAGAGGCGGGCAATTATTTTGGGCTTACTGAGTTTTGGCAAGCCGTGCAGGGCTGCGTGACAGGCAGCCAGGGGCAGATAAATATTAATTTTCTAAATTTTTTAGGGGCCCTGGCCTGGCAGGCCACATTTTGCCCACCCCTGGCTTAAGCACATGTAAAAGTACATGTAGACATGCCCTTTATCTCCAAAAGCTAGAGTTCTAATGGTGGTGGTGTTTTATAGGTGCCATGGATGTAGCATTAGGATCTGCTGCAACTGGTGTGTTTACCAATTCATCGTGGCTTTGGACTCACCTTTATGAGGTAGGCCATATGAGGGACCTTATTTTTATTTTAAAGTGGGTATATTGCTGAAGGTCTCATTTTTATGCAAGTCAAATAGATGTGATACTGAGTTTTAACATTTGTAGTATTTTTTTCATTTGTGCATTTTTAATTGAGAGGCATAAATTTTCATCAGTTAATTCTTAGCTCATAGAGGCACTACCTCTGTAGATTACAACACTGCAAAGACAGGATCTTTGATTGCTTCCAAGGTATACCTCTTCCTAAGCTAATTATTTTTAGGACTACAGGTTATCAGTAACTTGGATTTGTTTTGTTGGAATTTAACCCATTATGTACTTGAAATACTGCTATACTTTAGGCTTTTTAATGGCTAAAAAAAGTATCGAGAGCTATGGCTTTATAAAAATTTTCATTACAAACAGAAAAATATTACAGAAAACCAACCCTTTTTAGTGGTAATAGAGGGCAACCTTTAAAAAAATTTAAAAAATCCAAAATAGTGTTTCATGTTTTATTTTTAGCATATCTTTAGGTAACTTTAGGCATCTTGTACTGATCTTGAAGAAAAGCAAGGGGATTTTTTTAAATATCTTTTTACATAATTAGGTTATCTATGAAACTGCCCTTTACTTGTTTGGTAGCTACAGCTGATAACTAGTCTTTGCTTGTACAGGTTTACAGCCTTCTCCCACTTCACTAAGTGACTATTTTTCATTTATAGCATAAGTCTAAACAAAAGTCAGTTTTATCTGATATTTAGCTTAAACTGGATCTCCTTCTTTACCAAACCCAAGGAAGGGTTTTCTGTGCCCAAAAGCTTGTCTGACCTCTCTCAACTAACTGTATGGTTGGTCAAAGAAAGCATATTATCAAAAAAACCCTTGCTTGTTATGTGTTCCCTGTACCATCATGTCTAAAACAACACTAATTTCTGAGGTAGTTTTATAACTAACGAAGGTCAATTGAACTTAAAATCACAATAGATAGTGCTTGTAGTCAAATTAAATTAAAAAAGAATTCGCCAGATGCATTTTGTCCCAAGTGTAATAACTGTTTCTTTTCACAGGCCAGTATTTTGACAGGAGACCGTGTTTGGAGAATGCCTCTCTTTGAACATTACACAAAACAAGTTACAGACTGCCCACTTGCAGACCTGAGTAATGTTGGAAAATATAGCAGGTACTTAACTGAAATGCAACAGTCCTTTTTTGTTTGCAAGTTCAAAGTATATAAGTAAAATAGTAATAACGCAAATTAGCACAGATGGGTTTTGTTTTTTTTTTTAAGAACTTGGGATTTCACTGTTTTTACATTTAACTTTTGGACTCCAAGCTTTCATTCCGTAGTCTTGGGTTAGATGGTGCTAAGGCCCTTGTCCACAGAGTGAGCCTCCCTTCACTATGTGTTATAGGTGTATTCTTTACACTTGGCAGAGGAATACAAAAAATCCGCCTTGCAGCTAGGGGCAATGCTTTTCTGCAAAGAGGGTTGAGAGCAGATCAGCCTCAGCTGCACCAAAATCCTAAAATGGTGCAGCTGGGCATAGTGGGAAGCTGGGAAACAGAACAGTTTGTATATATTTGCAGTCACTGTATATATTTAAACATACTAGAATACCCTATAAACAAATATTGGGCTCTGTGAAGCTCTACTAAAGATTGACTCTTACTATGCTCTTTTTCATCTGTGTACTGGCATGAATTCCATTTTAAGTTTGCTTGTATCTCATCCGTGCAAGTCTTTTGGGTAGCAGTGTCTGTTGAACAGTACTTGTATGAATCCTGTGGTACCCCATGACTCCTCATGCTCCCATATGAGTCCATGAAGGCTGAGACAGCTGCCATTGTCTTTCAGTTCTCTCTTACCACCTATGGCAGTGAGATGGAATCTACCATAGTGTTAGACTTGCTAGTTATCAGCTTTGGATAAATCTGTTATGAATCCTTCAGAAAAGCCTTTAGAACGCTTTCCACTTCTCCCATAATGTATAACAGTGAATGAACTGTCTGAGTGTCCTAGTGCATGGTGAGCCAGACTTCAAACCATGCCTTTCATGGGACAAGTTAACTTTACTAAAAGATAAACATAGCAGATGCCCCTTCTGCCTAGGTGAGAGACATGTATCAAAGTTGTAAGTTATTCTTTTTTTTGAAGATTCAAAAGGTGGGATTAGAGTAGTTGTAAACTCCCTAAGGACAGAGACTTTAGTTTTATTATGTATTTGTGGTTCCTAACCAAGCGAAGCTCTTGATTCATTACTGGGGCTACATAAAATAAAGAAGCAATAAAGAATTTTAATTTGCTGAAACAGCCAATGAATGTCTGAGGCATCATAGATATTGATTAAAACTGCACATGCAATCACTCTGTACATCAGAGGTATGATGACCAACACTGTCACTAAACAAAGAGTTGATTCCAAAATCCAAACCACTGACACTGCAGCCATCATCAGCACTGAGGTTTATACCATTTGTGTCAAAGCAAGTGCCAGCATCTCTGGCACTGAAACTCAGCTGTCTGGTAGAAAAGGACAAAAATTCCAGACAGAAGCCATGATTTTTCCATGTAAAGACTATACGTGGTATATGGGAAGAGAGTCACTAATCCCATATGTAATGGAAGGCTAATAACCTGGAACCACCTGGTATTGCAGCACTGAGTCACTGGTTTCAGTACTTCCAAGTAAGTTATGGATAGTGACAGTTATATCCCTAGTAAAATCTAGTATGCTCTTAGTGTGGAGACAGTTATAAGTGCTAAGAATGGTATATACTTTGGTACCACCCCTGGAGGAATTTTCTTTCTCCATAACCACAGCACATACTTTCCTTCTTTGAGCAGATTCCTTGTTGAAATTATTGGAGTCTGCCTTCTTGCTTCTAGGGAACAAAATCTTCCCCAATCCAGGAAAAAGAGCTCAGATTAAGATGGAGGCTTCTCTTTTCAGTATTTCATTATCCTGAAGAAGAAAGGGGATACTTCTTATGCCTTGGGCCTGAAACAACATGGTCCTGAATTCATTTCTTCAAGGTGGTCCATAGCATATACCAGAGCTTCACAGAGGGACTAAACAATAGCAGTTCAAGGTGCTGTCAGTCGCCATGGCATTAACAGTATTCATGAAATGAGTGGTGGTGGTGGTGGCACACTCAAAAAGAAAGGGCATTCAAACCTACACGTACCAAGACAGCTGGCAATGGGGAAATCCCAGCTGGAGATCTCAAGAGAGGGAGAGCTTTCAAGCTCCTCATTCTGAGTATTCAGAGAGAAGATTGCTTGCTAGTAAGATCTACACTGACATGTATGAAAAACATAGAACTGTTACTTGCCATGCAGCAACTGGTTCTTCAAGATGTTGCTTGTGTGGATTCCACAACCTGTCCACGGGATCTGCACTGACTACAACTTATTGCAAAATTGAAGCTAAAGTACAAGATGGCTCTTAATGCATATTGTTGTTGGCTTGAATGCAAATAAAGGTTTTTTTTAAGAAATCCACTGATTTTGATTCTTCTCCTCTTCCCCAACAGAGCTGGAGGTGCATGTACAGCTGCTGCATTCCTGAAAGAATTTGTAACCATTTCTCACTGGGCTCATTTAGATATAGCTGGTGTGATGTCTAATAAAGATGAGGTTCCTTATCTTCGAAAGGGCATGGCTGGACGACCAACACGCACATTAGTGGAGTTTGCTACTCGGCTGAGCCAAGACAATCAAAGTGCCTAGAAAAATATTCTATAAGCTTCCAATTTGTCCACTTTAAAGAAATTTTAAGATTATTTGGAAAAAAACCCCCAAAAAGCCTGTTTTCAAACATAGCAACAGCATATGTACTTTCTACCAAAATGCCAAATGTGGAACGTTTTATTAAATATGAACGTGCTCTCCACAGTTTATTGGGAGACTGCAATGAACTACAAGTGCACCTTATAAATTTATTGCTAAATAATTTGAGGTTCTGCCTTCCTGTGTTATGCTGCTGAAGTAAGAGGTTCTCTTAGAACTATTTTTAGAACTACAGGACATCTCATGTTGAAGAAATGATCGTTGTAAAACATCTGAACTTAATGTATAGCAACTGGAAGAGTTAGAATAAATCTGCCTTTTAGTGCTTAGAAGGCTGATTCATTAGTCCAAATTAAATCACTTTTGAGATTTTATTTAGAGAAGGGAAAATTGTTCCATCTACCCTGCTATATTTTGTATTCATGATGTTTCTTTTGGAAATCTCAAAACACTTTGTGGATGACTGAGTAAACCAAGATACAGTGTTTCTTGTTTTGTTTTTTCCTTGCCGAATGTTACATAGCCAATCAGTGGTACAGCTGGAAGCGCAGCCCAGCTATTCTGGCTCCTATGTCTTCTTTAACCACATGATTGCCTACATATTAAATTTACGAATTTTTTTTAATCTGGATTTTTTTCATAAAAGTACCAGTATCTTTCAGCATTTAACACCAGTCTCCAGTTGCTGCATATATATTGGGTGCATAACTAGTAGTGCTCTTTAACCCTCTCTCTTTAATATAAACTTCCTTTCCTTGACAAGGCTTTTTGGAGGTGTATGGCAAAGAAGTCAAACTTTTACCCAAATTTTTGAAGTCTACTGAAAGATTTTTAACTTAAAACGAAAAAACAAATGTTCATAGATACTGAGAAAGCGGTTTCCTCTTGAGAATGAACTTGAGGGCTTCTATTGCTGGGGTGCATATTATATTTGCCCATCTCAGAAGGCATAATTCCCTGGGAGTGGAATGGGGAAACCTGTGCCCTTCCTCTTTGCTGGAGAGAAGCTCACTCTGTCCTCATAGGGACATTCAGTTTCTTCTGGAAAAAAGTCACTGCTCTCCCAGGAAAAACTGAGTATATAGATGTTCAGGTTTTTCTCCCAGAGTAGAAATGGCCACTACAAGAAAAATAGCCTGAGAACACCCAAGGTTAAATTACTTCCGGAAGAGTTGCTCTAAATGCTAATACTGTAGGCTGACCATGGGCAGGCCAGGTTAGCCAACCTCTGCACTACTGCCATCTATGTCTTGCCAGGTGGAATAAGGGAGCCTACAGGGCTGTGCCCCTGCTGGAAACCAGCACTGCACTCAGATGTCTGTATCCATGGCTCTGGGCAAGTTCTTTTATTTACTAGGAAAAGCTGGGAGCATTCTCCCTGATTATTAGCACTCAAGTACAGGTTGCTGTCTGCTCCAGAGGAAGTGTCTCAACTCTCTCGGGGCCAGAGGAGATTAGCTGCTGTTTTCTGGCTTCCCTAACAGTGGCCTGTGCCCTGAAGAAACTTGTGAGGTGGCCTTACCACAACACCTGCGACCGCCTCTGGGACATTTCTGCAGAGAGCAGCGTCCTCGGCACAGCTGGCAGGAGAGGGGAGCCGTTTGGGTTTCTAGGCTAAAAACTGACAGCCCAACTATCCCGAGGCAAAGGCTTTCTCCTGGGATCCTGCAGCCCTAAAAGCCCTGGGGCCCAGAGAAGTGGCTTGGGGATGGGAGCTGTCGGGAGCCAGCGGTGTACCGCAGACTGGCAGCTGGAATAGCGATTCACTCGAATCAGCCTGGGTTGTCCCGGGATAAAGCACCAGCTCGGACACTGCGCGGGGACCAGGACCCACGCGGGCAGAAACCCTGGACAGCGCATCGCCCGGGGCCGCTGAGCCGGATCCGAGCTCAGCTCGCGTAACCTACAGGCTGCCGGAGGCCTCCGCGGGGGGGCGCTACGTCACTCTCCCGGGTAGAGCGCGCTGCGCATGCGCCTCAGCGCGCGAGAAGGGCCCATGCGCGCAGGCTCACGGCGCGTGCGTAGCTGCCGCCGGCGGCGCGTCATGGCGGCGCTGAGCGGGATGTTCGCCAACCAGCCCCCGGGGCCGCCGCCGCCGCCACCTCCCCCGGGACCGC